CAGTCCTCTGATATTTCTTTAAAGACATATTTTTAAAAATATATCAACATAAATACACCAGACACTGCATCAAATGGTTTAAATATCAGTTCTGTGCTTAATTATGTACTGTGAAACCTATTTATAACGAAATCAGATACAGCAAAATTCTGTTTTCAGTGACATTGACTGAAAGTCCCAAATTGTTTCATTGCTTTTGAATGCATAAATTATTACCAAGGCTATAGTAACCTTCCCTGCCTCCTTCTCCACATCCCCACCACAGGGAAGCAGGGGGATGAAAAATAGGCTTTACTATGGGAGGATCCATTGTACATGAGCTTGATCCTCAGCATGTGTAAATCATTGAGGATCTATTGACTTCACTGGAGCTATGCATATTGATCTTGCTGAAGATTTGGATCTATAATTTCCTTTGGTCATCACTATTGAAAGGTGATGCAGGCTGATGTAATGAGCAATTGCAGCGCTGTCTTTGGCTGTAACTTGTATATGAAGATAATCAATATCCACAAATTTACTGCAGCAGTTAATATGAATCATTTATACTTATAGGGCCATAATTTCAAAGGGAGGATAGGCAGGGTTGTGAACATAGCACCTCCAAAAATATAGGCATGCCAAATACCCATGTTTGCATGCCCAACTGTGCAATCAGGCAATTCTGTAAATCATCAGAGGAGAAGGTGCACAGTTACCCAATTTGCTTGCACAAATGCAGTTTTCAGTGGCCTCTGTGACTGTGTATGAATGTTTCTGTAATCACACCTCTTGCACCTGCATCTGAAAATTTGTTCCATAATGGTCTAACAACCTTGATTACATGTATTTGGCTATAATACACTCCCTTCCTAGGTCCCTCAATTATTGTGATTGTTATTTGTATTACTATAGCACCGAGAACCCTTAGTCATGGATAGGACCCCCCCACAGTAGGTGATGTACAAACATAAAATAAAAGGACTGTGCTACTCTATAGAAATGGGCTAGATGACGTTGGGACCTTCCCTTCCAATCCTACCATTATAGTCAACCAGTTACAAGTCAAATGACCTGAGGTTCAAAGGTGTGTTATTGCACTTGTGTATGTGCAAAAGTTTAGTTTTGCTCACATTAATTAGCTCACATTTGAGCTAACTATTACTGTGCATGTAAATCAGGGTTTTGCACATGAAACTGGCAGGTTATACAGCTAGCTGGCCAATTCAATATGCAAATACCTGATTTCACACTCATTGTGTGCACATATAAATTAGCTATAGAGTTTTGAAAAATAAGGACATAAGGATTTTAGGTGTTAGTTTATGTTTTCTGGAGTGTTACCTATTCCTTTAAACGTATTTAATATTTCATCAGTTAAAACTAGTAAACACTTAGCATTTACATATTTTGACATATTACCTAACACTGTATAAATATTAAATATTTTTACAGATAAAAAAATCAAACACAGAGATTCAAAACCTGAACAAATACCTGCAACAAAGGTATTTCCACTACATGCATCTGAAGAAGTGGGTATTCACCCACAAAAGCTTATGCTCCAATACGTCTGTTAGTCTATAAGGTGCCACAGGACTCTTTGCCACTTTTACAGATCCCTCTGATACCTGCAACAAAGGAGCATCCTGGTGGAAGTGTTTGGCGATATATGGATTGCTCCTGTTTGCAAAATTGCGTATAGTTCTGGAGGTCCTCATCATCTGGTCACACTCATTTCATGGGCAAATAACCCATTCCAAAGACACATTTCAACACAAGTAATATCTGAATATTTAGCTTATGGATATGTCATCCCCAGTATTCTGTCATTAAAGGGATTGGATTTATAGTCTAGTCTAAATCCAGGCTCATAGGTAACACTGGGCAGATATGTCTGAAAGGTCGTATCACAAAACATAACATGAGGAGATATTACTGACAATGCAAGGTGATAGAAAGGTAGTACAGGGATGATGTGATGTCCATTACTAACATAATTGAAGAATGGGCCTAATTCTCCTCATTTAGGTATAGATCTTGGTCCCATTGAAACCAATAAGAAGTTTTTCATTGACTTCAGCGATTGCGGGACTGGATTCTTATGGCACTGTTAAATCAGGAATAACTCCAATGAAGTTGGCAGAAATACAGTAGTGTCAAACTGGTGCAAGTGAGAGGAGAATCATGCCCCTTACCTCTGTTTCATACACATTCAGCTCTTTTCTACTCCATTTCTATAGCAGGATGCTAAATAAAGGCCTTCCACTTATTATTAGCATATCATCAACATCTTCCTCATGATTCTAAATCACAATTTCAGTGTCCCACCCTGCCAACTATTAGATGGGGCAAATCCTCTGTCCTCTAGTTTTCAGAGTCTGTCTCCAACTTCTGCTTCTTCGAGCGTAAAATGAACTAAAATCAATCACATTGCTTCCTTGATGTGATTGTGCCCTGGAGTTGTGAAGTCTGCAGATTTCTCTCAAGTAGTGTGAAAGGCCATACATTTCTTCAAGGTCAAAGGCTAAAAAAGTGTGAATGAACTGACTACAGGAACAGTCTTTTCAACTTCCCCTGTGAAAGAGCTTTGATTCCATAATGGAAAAAGTCCTGTAAAATGTAACAGAAAATTATATTCAGGTATTTTGAACTACCCTATAGAATTGAACTGAGAATTTTATGCATCTTGTATAGGGTTTTTGTGGGGGGTTGTTATTTTATTAAATTCTAAGAGGTTTGAAAAAGTGCTATATCAGAGCTAGGTTTTATTAATTATTATTTTAAAATCAATTTCTATAGAGCTCTATTAAAGTTTTATAGAATCTCTTTGTTACATCACTATTAGTTCTATAAGATTTTTCCATAAGTGTTTAGTCACATACACATTTATGATTAAATACAATATTGGCCATCCGCACAAAACATGACATACAGGACATGACACTGATGTACATACCACATTCTAACATATTTAACATCTGATACTGCTCCCACTGATTTCAGGGTGGCAGGATCAAGCCCTTATTGAACAGCAATGTTTCAAACTGCTTCGTAGTCACTTGGTGCTGTCCAGTGAACATATCTTTTCATTGTCATGCTCAGAATAGATCAGTCTGCAACTCTTACTCCAGTTGAGTACACATACCCAACAAGGTAATCCTACTGGTATCAATGGGATTACTTGCTTGACTAAATAATACTTAGCCTGAATGATGGTTACAGAATCTAACCCTGTTTACTTTTATTTTGTATTACTTCTCGCCAACAATAAAAGTGAGTGGAAAAGAGAACAGTGATAGCAAAGGCTAATTTAAAGGTGCTGCCCTTTGCCACCATTTTGTTTCTAAAATAAAATGGTATGTATTTACAATTTTACAATTGCAGAAGTTATGAAGATTGTGGGTTTTATGAATAAAAATATTAATTCATGTGTATGCAGATGTACTGCTGCATATGCTCACACCCCATATTACTCCAGTCTACTGGCATGTTTTCCCCTTTAAACACATGGGTATACACGATTTAGTTAACAAACTATGCAGTTCCTATATAAAATGACTGGAGTAAATTGAGTCACTTGCATTGCTCTTATTATAAACATATCCCTTTCCTACACCTTGCATTAAGGCATGATGGCGTATAATCTGACAGGCTTCAAGACATGTAATTTTACTGGTATTGATATAAATGATAAGAAAGTATACAGATACCTAACACTAGTGTTTGTTTACAACACTAATCATTTTGAATCTGATCCAATGCCCACTGAAGTCAATAGGAGACTTTCTGTCAACTTTAATGGTCTTTGGATCAAGCTTTTTTGTGCACAACCTCTCATTTCTTTCACATTAAAATCATGCTTGTCATTATTGTCATACAGCATTTTCCCTTCAAAATCTACTTAAAGGAGACTTCACAGAACATGCCAGTAGTTTATGAAATGAAAATCAGATTTGCCCAAAGTGTATTTGTGTGTGTCAATAATCTTTAGAAATTTATTATATTGTAGATGGAGATTTTAGCTAAGTTGCTCTTCTAAAAATAGCCTTCCTGTTTTTGTAATTAATATGCAATGAAATAATATAAGTGTGCATCCAAATAGCAACAAAACAGCCAAGAAATGTAACTTTGGGGTTTTCATAATCAAATTGTAAAGCTGTCTGTCTGAGGTGACAAAAACGATAAAGGCATCTTTAAAACAACATTGCATATTGGACAAAAAGCTTGTAATGTTTCATAGCTTGAAGTAAAAATTCCACAGAGGAAGGTGGTAATATTTAGAATGCAGAAAGCAAGATAGAATTTTAAAAATTGGTAATACCGATAAATCACAACTACAAGCAAGATGATTAGGGTATCTGGTGTGAGCAAGCACAGACATATGGCAAAAATACAGTGAAATCTACTCGAAAGACCACTTGCAATACCCAATCCCTCTCTCACACACCCTTTTTAAAGGACCTGGATCAGGTTCTTGACAGACAAATTAAGGCAAGTTTCTCTTTATACTACATTAAAACTACCATTAACAAATATTTGTTTGTGACCAACCTAATGGCTTGATATTAAGTTGCTGAGACAGGACAAGTGCAGTTCTTGAACCAACTGAGGGCCTACAGAGCTCTGGCATTTTGCTGAGGCTATCCTTTGGACTCCATGGTGAAGACATGCAATTGTTTTAGACATAGGCCGGTAGACCGAATAGGACAATTCACAGAGTGGCCTTGGCAACCAGCTAAGGTTCTGATCCAGTGCCCACTGATGTCAATGGAAAGAATCCCACTGACTTCAGTGGGCTTTGGATCTGCCTTTAAAAGCACAGCGAGATAGCTTAATGAGCAATTCAGCCATACCTGACAGTTTAAATTTCCCATGTTTTTATCAGTTAGTGTTAAAACCATGAATGGTATGCTTTGAACACCTGAAAAATAATTCCAGTGAAGTTTATATTTTTTACCTCATGTGTTTCTAGAAATGTATATGATAAAAAAAAAAAAGAGCAATGTTCTCTGGTTTACAAAAAAAGGCAAGTACTTTATTTATCAATAGAATTACCAGCTGCTTTTTACACCATTGCCATGACTAAACAAATAACATAAAATAAATAAAGGAGAGTATAAAACCACATTATTCCAGTTGGTACCCCTGGACAACCCTTTGACTAAGTACAGAGTTAGATGTTTCAAGTATGGCACTTATATGAATAAGAGCAGAGAGAAGGTGACATATTCACAGTTAAAAGCAACAAACTCTGTTCCTTTGGTATATTTGTCAGATGATCATAGGTAACTTGAATATTAATTAATTCTATCTGATTTATGCACATCAGGGTAATTTTTTAAAAAACATACTGACAAATTTGGTAGATCCCAACTAGCATAAGATGATTAAGGTCTCTGGTGTGAACAGACAGGCAAACAAAAATGGCAAAATTATATTCAGCATGATTGTTTTGTGTAATTGTTGTATAAAACTATGTTAGAAAATAGCTAATAATATACACCAGCAATAAGCTCTGGGATTCCAACAGACAAAACAAAATCATGATGATGAAAGTGCACAAACCTCCTGGTTGAGCTTATGGTCAAGTGCCTAACATTGCAATTAACCTCCTTTTAAAATGTGCTTGCAGTTGTATATTACAGAATTCCCCTGTACACACCCCAGAAAACAGCATCCTTGCAATTTTTTAGCTATGATCATTCCACATGCAATTACAACAATTAGTCAGACAGTCCCGTCTGTAATCTCATCCTAATAATGACCAAAAAGCTGCTCCAGTCAAAAGATAATATTTGATAATTAGAAAACAGTAACTGTACTGTAAGGCCAGATCAAGCAGGGTTTTACCATTTTTCCTTCAGTCTTTTACTTAGCACTGCATTTTGTATCTAGTTCAGTAAGTGCAGTTCCAATACCTTAGTGGCTTTCTTGGTGGTTTGATAAACTGCTTGCCTAAGCAATGTACCTTTCCCTAATGTTGTCTGGGTCAGTTCCACCTGGCACAGTGTTTCAGTTCTGTAACAGCCTCACACATAAGCTGAGTCACTTGACTGAGTCCTGCCAAAGTTAGGCACGCTCATTCTTGGCAAGTCCTTGTTTCTGATTTCGTATATGGATTTCCTTTTTGCTTGTACTCCTCTCACTGCCATTTTAATCTTTCTCCAGCCCAAGTGGTTCAGTTCTGCCAAATTGAGCACCACACAAATCCCACTCACCGCAAACATGAATACCAAGAAGACAGTCTTTTCAGTGGGTCTAGACACATAGCACTCCACTTCCTTAATGCAGGGGTATCTATCACATTCATACATGGAAGGGACATTGAATCCATACAGGAAATATTGTCCCACTAAGAACCCAATCTCCAGGGCATTTCGAAAAACCACCTGGATGATGTAAAATCTGGAGATGCCTTCTTGCCGCCTCATCTTCGACTTTGTAGTTCTGATGGCTGGGTTGGGGATTTCCTTCACCTCCAAGCAGTCTGGCTCTGCTTCCTTGGTGGAGTTCTCGGTGTTCTGCAGCACTCCATTGACAATGGTATTCTTGATCTTCTTACTGTCTTCACGTTTCATTGAGTCTTGATCTCTGTCCAAGGCGAGGAAGACGGTGGAGTACCTCCTCTCCCTCTGCTTAGCAGACTGGTGAACAGAGTACGTTATAAAGCAGAGGCTGGGAGTGCATACCATGATGATCTGGAACACCCAGTACCTGATATGAGAGATAGGGAATGCCTGGTCGTAACAAGCCTGGTTGCAGCCTGGCTGCAGCGTGTTGCACACAAACATAGTTTGTTCATCATCGTAAACCGTTTCTCCTACAATGGCCACAATGAGTATCCTGAAGATCACCACCACGGTCAGCAGGATCCTACAACAGAAAAGTTCGTCAGTGCACGCTGACCCTGCACACCTCGGGGGAGAGCGAAACGCCCGAAAACACAGCAAGGCAGCAGCACGGCTGGAGCTAACTAACCCCCAGGGCTGCGGGGAGCTGTCCGGTGCTGATCGTGCATATAAACAGAGATCACAACGCAAGCGGCAAAGAAACGTTTGCCCTGATTTTTGTTTAGTTTAAACTCTAAAGGACAGTGTGTGAGTCAGGCGAAATGATATGAAAGAGCAATTAATAGATACACGCAGACACACACTCCTTGTAATCCTCAATTGATAAAAGATCCTCAGATCAAAGGGTGACTAGCTGCACCCCAGTTTTACCTCCTTTTAAAAAAGCTTCACGCTCACAATTTAGACCGTGGTAAATATCACCTGAAACCAACACAAAGAAGAGAGGCTTTCAAACGGCTTTAAATAATTGGGGGGGGGGGGGGGTGTAGATGTAGATATAGATATATATGCGTGCGGAGGGGATCGATCTCACGACGGCACTTTATTTCCCAGGAGAGTCCTCTGCGGGGACAACTTCTGGATTTGCTCCACAGGGAGCGAGAGGAGCGGGAGACACTTGATGGCTGAAGTTTGCTCTAGTCTGGAGCATTTTCTTTCTCCGTAACCCCTGGCACACCCTGGTTAGGACATTTCGCCCCTGCACCGGCACGGGCACGTGGCAACTGCTCTCCGCCAGCCCTTCCAGGAGAGGCTTAAGCTAGGTCCCCTGGCCTGCCCGTGGACCCGTTGCTCTTACCTCCCTATCATAGTCGAGTGCTGCTGCACGGCAGCTTCCAGGAGTCTCTCCAGGATGGTCCATTCCCCCATCGCTGCTCATCCGGAGACAAAGACTTTGGCCGCGCTGCCGCTTTCGCCTTTTAGCCCACCCCAGCGGAGCAAAGCAACGTCTGGGCAGGCGGCTTGGCCGGCGGGGGGGCTGGATGCCCCGGGCTGGCCGAGCACAGCCCCGCAGCCCTTCCGCCTCGCCGGGCACGTCCCGCGGCTGGGCTCGGCCTGGACCCCCGGTGCCTGGGCTGTGCATGGGCAGGGAGGGAGGGTGGCTGGAATGTCTTGCCGCCTCTAATCGGCCTTTAAGTACTCTCTGCTTGCGTCACAGCCCGGTCGGGGGAGAGCAGCCAGCAGCGGCGCTAGGATTTTCTCCGGGTTCTTGTGGTGGGCAAACGAAAGAAATCAATGGCACTGAAAAGAACTCCATGGCGCTGGCGAGAGATTCATTTTGCGATTCTTGCTCATCTGGGCTCCCGGGGGTAGCCCGCCGCGTGCAGCTAGCCCTAAGCAGCCCGAAATGCCGGGGGCAGGCAGACCAGGGGTCTTCCCAATCACACAGGGATTAAAACGGCTCCACTAAACACACAGGTAATGGGCTGGAGTGAATGCGCCCTTGGAAGCGTAGCACGCAATTAGATGCCGCCAAGATCTTCCCCCTTCCCCCGCCACCCCCCGTGGAAAGCTTCCCTCGCAGGGAGTTCTCCCCTCCCCTGTGATTTCCCCTTGATCCTTCCCATTCCCAGCACATTTCCTCTCCTGTCTGCCGAGCCTGTTTTAATAAATTTAACCTGCAGCTTTGTTGTATCCATTGCCCTCCCTGTGCTCGTCTCCGCTCCCACGCTAGTGATTTAACAGATGTGTGTCTGCACGTGCTGTATGCAGAGGAAATACCCCAAGTAGGGGCAGCGAATATTCATTGCCATTCCACCAGTCAGAGTTAACAGCGGAGCTAATGAGTGATGTAGCCACAAGGAAATTGTATTAGGTCATCCCCAAAGAAAGGCATATTCACTGTTCAAACACAGCACTCACTTTAGAACAGAAAATAATTTCTGTCCTGGGTATTAATTTTAAAATTTGTTTTCTGATCTGACTGTGAGACAATTCAGTGGGGAAAAAGAAAAGGAGGACTTGTGGCACCTTAGAGACTAACAAATTTATTTGAGCATGAGCTTTCGTGGGCTACAGCTCACTTCATCGGATGCATTCAGTGGAAAATACAGTGGGGAGATTTATATACACAGAGAACATGAAACAATGGGTGTTACCATACACACTGTGAGGAGAGTGATCACTTAAGATGAACTAATACCATCAAGGGGGAGTGGAGACAAAACCTTTTGTAGTGATAATCAAGGTGAGCCATTTCCAGCAGTTGACAAGAACGTCGGGGGCGGGGGGGGGGGAATAAACATGGGGAAATAGTTTTACTTTGTGTAATGACCCATCCACTCCCAGTCTCTATTCATGGCCCACCTTGCTTATCACTACAAAAGGTCCATCCCACCCCCACCCCCCTTGCTGGTATTAGCTCATCTTAAGTGATCACTCTCCTTACAGTGTGTATGATAACACCCATTGTTTCATTAGTCTCTGTGTATATAAATCTTCTCACTGTATTTTCCACTGAATGCATCCAATGAAGTGAGCTGTAGCTCAGGAAAGCTTAGGCTAAATAAATTTGTTAGTCTCTAAGGTGCCACAAGTACTCCTTTTCTTTTTGCGAATACAGACTAACACGGCTGCTACTCTGAATTCAGTGGGGGTAATTCGGGATGCTAGCACCTAGCTTCCAGGTAGAAATGTACTTTAGGCATAGGAATGATTTAGTATTGGCTCAAAGTTTGGAAATATTTTCTGTATTTTACACAATGGCAGCATTACATAGCTATAGTTTTATATCTTCTTATCTCTCAGTCTTGGAAGACACTGGAATTAATATGTAGGTTTTAGTTTGCACTGGTTTTACACCCTTTATATAAATATTCATAGACAGCAAGAACTGAAATTTACATAACCAGCATTTTCCAAGATTAAGATTCTGTGTACATGAGTCTGCATACACATATTTATCAGTGGTGACACCAAAATATATGCAAATCATGTAAAAGTTATGTAGTGTTTCCCAGACAAATGCTTATACTGGAATTAATCCATATAAATTACCATAGAATATTTTATCTTGTTAACTATTTACATTTTCAATGTTGTGTATGCACTCAGAACCAGAGATACTAAAGGTTATTGTACAAAGATTGCAGTGGCAAGAGTTTGTGTTGACTGGCTTACACTCAAGTGATGAATCCAGTAGTGTTATTTATTTTTCCCTACCTGCTAAGTAAACCCTTGACACCACCCTGTTTTGAATGATTTTTAACCCACAAATTTCACAGAAAAGCTAGTTAAGAAGTATTTCAGACAGTTTTATGGTACTATTGATCATATATGTACACCAATAAAAGCCAGACTGCTTTAGTCATGGAGCACGTCACACTATTCACTGGAAATAATTGGGTCCTTTTTTTTTTTTTAAGGAATCATTTCTTATTTCTGTAAATGACTTTAAATATTTGATGAGTAATTGGGATGAAATCCAAAAGTAGTTTGTAAACCTTCAGCTATTCATAGTTTGTTGTCTGTTATTCAGGTGTGTAAATGATCACCTAGGTCACAATATTGTTTCTGTTCCTTGAGTGGACAAGCACAGCTTTTTTTAACTAGAAGAACAATAAAAAAATGAGGAATAGTGAATACCCTTTTTTGCACAGAAATAGACTGATTTCCTCCAGCTGAAAATTGGATTTCTGTGATGAAGTATTCAATAATCTGGACCAACTGGGTTTCTCTCTGCTGTTTGGAATTGGTAGGCACAATGAGCAATCATGGGCTTTTCTTCCCTTCAGCTGTATGGGCTCTACAGACTGATGCCCACACCTTGCACTTCCTTCACTTGAAGGACTGTGTAACTTCTAAACGTATTTATGAAAAGGAGCTATTAACTACATCAACAGAGCTATAGAAAAATCAACTCTGGCTTTGCCTTTTAAAACAAGCCTAACAACTAGTTAATTAACTACACCAACAGCTAACTGCCTCATAAGGGCCCAGTGGTGTCTGTCTGGAGATGAAACTGAAGATATATGAAAGAAAGCATAGGAGCCAGTCCACATCCACAGAGGAAGTGCCAATGTGTGAAGATAATATATACATACATAATCATCTAGAGTGCCAGTGATTGGTAATCCTGCAAGACCAAACAGCAGAGGGAAAAGAACAGGAGTACTTGTGGCATCTTAGAGACTAACAAATTTATTTGAGCATAAGCTTTCATGAGCTACAGCTCACTTCATCGGATGCAGTGGGAAAGTCAGTCCATGGTCCAGATTGTCAAAGAAAGAAAGAGAAATCCTTGTGCAAAGGCAAATATGGGTATTTAGATAAAGAACAGCTCTTCTCCAAACATTCATGTGGACAAAACCCCATTTGCATGAATGGGCTCTAATAGTAAATGAAACAAGAGCACTACATGATCAAATTGATCAGCCATTTGGAATTCAAATGAATGGTCAACATACTGTTTGCTGTCTTAACCAGCTTTACTTAATCCAATATGTCCAACTGTATGCACCTTGGAAGGAGAAAAATGTCTAATTAATAAATGCTATAAACCTCTAAAAGTTATCTGAAATAGAATTTAAAATCAATAATGGTAAGGTCCAATAACTTGGGGCCTACTGTGGCAGGTGCTGTGTCCTATTATAAAGCAGGGAATGTCCCTTTTCCAATGCTATACAAGCTCCATTTTCACTTGCAAGACCATTGGACCTTAGCCCTGAGAATGAATATTGTCCACCTGGCATGTAAGGCCAGGCTAATTTAGGGAAAGTAATTCCATACTTGTTGGAAAGACAGAATTGTTTTTTAAAAATAATGCCATGAAAACCTAACAAAGTGCAAGCTGTTTGAAGTTCACGTAGCTTGGTATATCAGAGTGTGTCTCGTATTCATAGACCACCTAGCGCTCTGAAGCCCAGACCCCAGTTGTGGCTTTTAGGCACTACCAAAATATTAATAAAAATAATATATGGTGCAGTTCGCAGAGTGTAGGGGCAACAGTGAAAGGTGTATGATAAAAGCACATTTTTACAGTCCCACAATTGACCACATACATATCAGAAATATCCAAATATAGACTTACTTGATAACTTATCTGTTTCACCAAGTAATTAATCAAATTAATCATGATAGCTAGACAGCCATGTTGGGGAGGAAAAGTTACAAGCAGGGGAAAATTCCACAGTTTCTACAGTCTTTGTCTTAGGTTTTATACCAATCCCCTGAATCCATCAGCCTGCTGTGCAGCCAGGATCTGCAGGCTGCCCAGAATGCTAGGGATATATGTTATGCTGGCTGTGGCATTCCTGTTAGTAAATCATCCTACATTTCATTCACAAGCAGCTAGGATTAACAAAGCTTTATCCCCTGGCTTACAAAAACAGTTTCTTAACGAAGCAACAATATTGGTTTCCAACAGGATCAGATGTGCCCTGTCTAATATTTTGTTAATTGTATACAAAAAGTATAAAAGCAACATACTTCCTTAGGAACAATTATATGTTTCTATAGAAGAAAGAAAAATTCAGAACAAACTCTACTCTGTTTCTGGTGGTAGCTCAAGCAACCCCTACAAAAATAACAGTATGTTAAAGCCTGCATACGTTTGGAGATCATGCTTCTACAATACGAATGTTAAAATAAATAATAAGAATATAGATTGGATGGATTTTGGATTAGGTTTGGAGAGTGAGATTGTATGTTTCCTCAGTTTAGATGACAAACTGAGGTTAATCTGTTTCTAAGAAGCTATAGGCCAGATTCCCTCTCAGAGAAATCCAGCCGCTTTGCACTGTACTGGTACTGCAAAGGGTCCAGAAAGCAGCCAGAGTTCTCCAGCTGGGGATTCCTCCTGAAAAAGGATGACCACAGTGGGAGATAGCTAGCATATGTGGCTCCTACACCACACCCCCTGCAGCTCCCAATGTAGTGACGTGCCAGGGTGGGCTAGGAAAGATGGCATGGATGGAGGCAGTGACTTCTGGGCATTTCCAGCAGGCAGCTGACTCCTTGGGGGCCATACATTAGAGCATCTCCCAAACTGCTATAATCTATGCTGGGGAAAGCCCCAGAATTCAGGTGCTGTAACCCGCTACTTGTACAAGTCATCCTGCCCCGCTACTCTGTCCAACGTCAACTGGACACACCAGTGAGCCTAGGCCAATAAATCTTGAAATAATATTTATTTAAAAAAAAATACTGTCCCACAGACTATTTTTATTGAATTTATTTGCAGCAGCAATGTGATGTTAGAGCAAATAAATTAATGCTTCACTAAGATTCAAAGAAGCCATGGTGACTTCTTATATTTCACTTTTACATGAGATCATGATTTTCATTGCTACTGTTAAGCTTCAGAGACCCCAGAGATATGCATTAACTATATGCAGCGAGAAACCCTTTTTAAACATTTGCAAGTTATTAACTAGAGTGTGGAAAAGAGAAAACCTTATCAAACATAACCGTTTGTTGCCCTCTTTATGCTTTGTAATTGGACTTCATAGCTGAGGTAGCTGATGAG